ATTGTTGGACAAAATTACCCCGCACTTTGCCACGTGTACAGCTAATTTCACAAATTAAGAGCAATTATCGACTAAATGGTCACGGATTTACTGATTCAGTTGTTTAATGGCCAATTACTAACGAAAAATAATTTGATGGTCAAAACATGATCTGACCAATAGTTTAGTGGCTGCTGAGATTTTTTGCCCTTTTTTTTAATTAAAAAGTAGATTATAATTTGGAACGGATGAAAAAAGAAAAACAAGGCTATCAAAATGGGACAAAGGGAGTATATGATTTGATTTGATGTACACTCATATAATTTTATTATTGTACTACTTGCAATTTGTTGACATCAATTCAATATGTGAAAAAAGGTATGCATTAATTTAATAAAAAAGTATCACACAAAATGTAATTATATCTGTCCCAATTCTGTAATAATTACTCAACAAACTCACAAAAAATCGATGAGAATTGAACCATCATCGAATCATATAGATGCAAAAGACACTCATATGAATTTAAGAGAAACCAGGTTTAGTAGCAATTGTCAACCAGTGCAAGAGGCACCCTAGTTATAGGTCTCTCATTCTCATCTAGGGAAGCCACCGGCCAAAGTTTTCCAATCCGTGGCCTTTCTCGTGGAAATTACGAAAACAAGGTGAAATGACATCTGATCCGGGTTCAGAAGATGCGGAAATGAAAGTTGTTAGTATAAAATTTGAGCATATTAATACCTAAACTATTATGTTATTTTCCATTTTTGGTGTCGATTTATTAATGTCTAGTCAAATCCATAATTCCAACGTGGATTGAAGATCATACACAGGCATAAAAAAGTAGTAGTTGCCTAATAGGTGCATGAACTCGAAACAGTAGTGTCTTGGTTAGAGTGTTTTAGTAGTACAAGATATGAATGACTCAGCAAGGTGGTCCTGGTCTCTAAATTAAAAAGAAAATTTATGGTGTGAAAGCGGCTCCTGGAATTTTGCGCACCACTGGACATATCGCGATACGTTCAACTGGGCATTGCTTAAACAGAAATACCTTTAAGGGAGATTAGTAGGAATCAAATTTTATAGAGTAGTAATAGTCTTGGCGCGACTAAACTGTCTCCCGTTTGGGGGGGGGGGGGGAATAACTAACGAAGTCGACGCACCAAAATTGATTCGACTCGACCCGATTCATTTCATGAAAAAATCAGAAGCATTATGTCCCATCTTTCTTATAATCATATTTGTGTGATTATATCCAAATAATAGTAATAATACCGCATAATCTACAAGTGGACTATTAAATCAAAGCTACCCGAAAATATTTCAATCATAATGGACTCTACACATTTTAACTTATAACCATTTTCCTTATGTACGATAAATTTATCTAGATCATTGTAAAATTAAACTTAAAGATCTCAAAGCTTACGGGTGACTAATCGTTCTTTGATGTTATGGATCATCATAAAATTTTCAACAGACTACTATGCTTATAAAATAAGTTGTTGTACATATTTTTTAGTTTGATTTGCAATGAATCCCTTAACAGATCAACTTGAATGATGTTTTATAGTTTAAAGATTTTATACCAATCTTCCCTAGGCCCCTATGTTTCATTAATATTTGTAGACAATAATAGAAAAGTTTGCGTTACGTAATGGAAGTTAGGCAAGCCAAACTAGTTTCTCCGTAATGGGCTTGCACCCTCCATTAGACCCCAAAAAAAAAAAAGTTCCCTGTAGACTATAAAATTAAACAAATTTAACTAAATAGCTCTTCAAGTTACTGTATGCAATCCACAACAAAGCGTAATTCAGTTGATAAGACGTTTTAGTCGTAATCCACATATCACTTATTCGAATCATTAAGAAAGATAAGTAAGAAATCATTACTAATTCTAAAAAACAAAGAAGTGCTATATGCAATGACTCTTTTTCGAGGGATCCTCCGGAACGAGACCGCGGTGTCTTTTATGATGCGCATGGCTCTTTTATCGTGGTCATTCGGTGCTGCTTATTAGTTATTATTTGATTTTGTTGTCAATTAGTAATATCGTTGGTCGCTATCTTTGACCTTTTACTTAGTGGATATTGTGCAGATGCATTGGGGAATCCGAGGAAGAGTTTTCTTTTCCAATAACGGTCTGTTTGGATTGTGAATTATTAGAGATATTTTTACTGTAGCACTTTTTGTGATGTGATGTATGTGAGATAAAAAGGTAATTGAGAATGTAAAAAGATGTATTGGAAATTGTAATGATGATGTAAGCAAATAAATTTGGGGAAATAAAACCCAATCTTATAATTCCTCGTGGAAAAAGAGCAACCCAAATTCAATGGGATGTTTGGAGATGGCACATCTCAATATTCCGTTACCACTTTGTTCCAAATGGCATTGGACTTTCTTACGCAGGATGAACTTTCAACGAAGCTTCCTCATGTTTTTCTTTTTCCCACCTTAGGAGTTCCTTTTTATTCCACCGTTGCTCTTGGTATTCCCGGAAAAATCTCTTCCCCGCTAAGACTCATCATAAAGAGAAATAGTAATTCTTTTTATTTTTCTGATATCAAATTGGAATGTGGAGAAGAAATTAAGAAAGAAGCTAGAAAAACAATAAAACTAAAAAAAAAAAATAATCCCAAATATATGCACTCTTCAGTTTGTCCTTTCCATTTATGCTGTGAGACATACTAGACATGCTGATGCAATTCTTGAACCCCCACTTAACCTAACATGCACGGTCTACTGAAATTTATGAAGATTGAAAAGGACATGCACTTTCTTTTTTTCTTTTTTCTTTTAAACTTTTTTGGTGTGTGGTTGCCCGTGGACTTTGCTTATTTTAGAACCTTGTCAAAAGCTTCAGTTTCTAACAATTGATGGCTTGGGATACATTTCATTTCACGTTGCGATAATGTCTCATTAACTTGTAAATTCCAGTACATATGCTTATTCTCCGATCCCAGCCTAATGATTCTTTGCTCCTTGGTAGTCCGACTAGTTACGTAATCTGATAGTTATTAGCAGATTTCATGATCGACTCCCGTGTATTATTTTGTCTTGTATTCTTGAAGTAAGACTCTACATAAATTTAGGGGATTAGTCCGGTCGAAAGTTGGGATATCCCTAAATAAAAAAAAATATAAATAATGATTCCTTGATTCATTTTAATAACCTGTAGTATATCGTCTATCACAGCGATTGTAGTCAAGCTAACAAGACCGGCCACCTTGTTTATGAAAGTAGCGATATCCTCAGCCGATTGCTAAATATTATTCATTCTTCTGTAAAGTGTAAAACAAGAATCCACGGCACACACAAAAAAAAAGGAAAAGAAGAAGAAGAAGAAGAAAATAGTAGAGGAGAGAGAATAAGATTATATTTGACCATAATAAAAAAGAAAAAGAAAAAGATGCAAAATATTTGCACACTTGTCAACTCAAATACATTATAGTTAGTACAATTGAATTGGTGGGTGTGGGGCCTCTGGGCCGCCGGATCATTTGTCGGAAATTGTCAAACGAGCGGCTAATGGGTGGGCTACGTGTAATTGAAAGCGCTTCTTACCGATTGCATTGCGCAGGGTACCATGCTTAACTTGGGCAGTTTTATTTTACTTTTTACATTTCCAGGTTGGATGCGGGAACGAGGGATGTCGAAGAAGATTGTTGTTAATAACAGCCTCTGCCGTCAATGTGAACGGAGGAAATTCATCGGAGGTGAGAGGACGGGAGAGGAGGTGGCTCTTTTTCCTCTGGGTATCAAAATTCTGCTCAACTCTGCTGCTCCTTACTCCTTAGCTCCGAGGAGACGTCAATTTTCTAAGAGTGCTAAAATTGACTAGTCAATATGAGTCCGAGTTTGGATCACCATCAACGAACTTTGTCGGTGGGCGTGTCCGGACAGGAGATTATTTGCTTAAATTTATTCGCTATAATTTTCAATACACCTTTTTATCTTTTCAATTATCTTTTTATCTCACATACATCACATCACAAAAAATGCTACAGTATGTTTCGACTAATTTTAATTTATTCTCTATTATTACTGTCTAAAACACCTTCGTGTGCGGTGTAACTTTTAAAAGCAATCAACTACTTTAAATAGTTAAAATACCTTTTTTTTTTTCAAAGTAGTACGGCAATGGAGTTAGCAAGAAGTAAATTTAACTGAATTGAATAAAATTAGTAGTAAAAAACTTGCCCTTTCAATTTGCTACATGTAAGTCGAGCAAATCTCAAATTTGATCGGGCTTGAAAGATGCATATATAATGAATAACTTAGCATGAATTTTTCTTTTAAAATATATTCCATTCAGATTTATTTATAAACGGAAACGAGGTAATTGTCTTTTCAACAAAACGTAGCGTGGTCTCTTTTCTTGAGAGACGATTAATTCTCCTTGTATGTTTTAGAGGAGCTGCTCAGGCATTGGATCCTTGTCATGCTCATGCATGGTTTAATAGCTATCCAACTTCAATCTACGATTTTTTTTTGGGGATTATGCTACGTATAATTACTACTTTTTAAGGTTCGTTTCTTTCACGACTTTGTATGGCAGAACGTAGGCGAGAACGGGCGAGGAACGATGAGGATTAATGACGTCTTACTTACAGAAAGAGAAAGGTAGCCTTTGAAAGTCATCTCTTGATTTCAACGTCAAGGAAAAACAATACACAGGCAAGCAGTTCTTTTAATTCTGTGTTTTCGACCTTTTCAAGATCATTCAAAATAAAAAATAATAATAATACAAAATGTCAGGAGCCTAAAGGACTTGGTCGAGAGTGCCCCAAATACTTGTTCAACAAAATACCTCTTCCATTTTATCAAATTTTTTTTTCCCATATTCGATATTTCCTCCGACAGGAGAGCACATGTTTTACAGTAGTCAGCGGTATAAAAAGAACCCAATATTTATCTTCTATCCTGAGCATAGTGCAAGCCCCCGCCGCTATTATTCCTTGGAAAATAGGGGATCATTTCGCAACCAATAGTTGGTATTAGACCATATAGCCTGAAGATGGAAAAAGAAAAAGATGGAGGAGCAACGATATAGAAATAGAATACGTTGTCTAATGCTACTCAGTTAAAAGTCTTCAGAAACTCGAGTAGCTTAATATGGATGCCCGGAAAGTAGCCAACCTACCTAAGTGAATCACTTCTACCTGTTACAAAAACGATATGGGGTTTAAACAACCCTTGTTTCTTTCCCCCTTGAGAAGGATGTTCATCCTGTTGAGCGAGTACAACCTCCAGGGAGAAGGAATTTGAACTTTTCTGCATTCTCCACCAAGTAAGCAGGAAGATGTACTGCAGATGCTGAACGAGCTACTGAACCCATTTTCTTGATAATTTCCTTAAAAGTATACTCTTCAGGTAACATGTCAAAAAGATCATCTCCTTGACAGATGAGCTTCTGAATCCTGGAGTACTTCAAAAAACTTCTGTGCCTAACTCGGTCTGCATGACTATAGGCAGTCATTTTGAACACAAACTCTCGCAGATACCGGAAGCAAAAGCTACAGTGCCATCCTGCATCGGACAGAATAAAATTGGATTGTCGCGAATGTCGATACCGGGTCCAGGGGTTGTAAATGTGCACTGTAGCACGCCAACTACTATAGTCAACCGGGAATTCGAAGGAATACAGATAGTGCTTCAGCTCCAGATGTAAGACAGGAGGTACCCCATCACACCACTGCAGTAGTTTCACAGTGTGAGGAGTTGGTATTTCATCAGTGTCCGACATGATGAGGAGGTCGCCCTCCGAAATACCTGCCCCTTGAAGTAATCGATTCATAGCCCCACGCTGCTCTGCTTCAAGATTAAATGGGTTTTCATGTGAACCACGCCGAAGAATGCGACCAGGAAATACGTCATGGACAACCTTTTCCTCTGCAAATGCAAATCGATCCCGATTTGAAGCAAAAAAGACAGGTTTCGGGACGCCAGTGAAGGTGGTGTTGGCTTCCAAAATTACAAATTTAGTAACATAAGGAAGGAGTTCATGCCACCTAATTTCAAGAATGTCCAGCTCATTGCTGAATATAATGCCATCAAATACTCGGCGCGGCTCTAAGCGCAAGGTCCAGCCATGAAGACGACAGAGTTGGCCCATGGAAATGTTCTCTGCATAATAATGAGGTAGGCGTTCGAACTGTTCTGGAGGTCGGTCCCAAAGTGGGCGGAAAAAATAGGAGATCTTCTGGCCATGGTTAAATATTCCAATAATGCTGACAGGAACAAGTATCAAGAGTATTATAATGATATGTATATTTCTAGAAGGGCGTCTAGAGCTGAGGCGGAGGGGTCTTGGGGCCATAGTGCAAAAGATGCTGAGCAGGAGCAGTGCCTAACATGGCTCCATGGTTGCACCTACAGTATTCTGTAAGTTACCAAGGGTCAGGAGCCAGAAAGGCCGAAGATTACTACTACATCATTGTGCCAAAAAGTAAACCATTCTTCAAATTCAAGATATTAGGCATCTTAAAAAAACAAACAAATAGTATTCATCCGTATGCAAATTCATAGTGCTTAAGTAGGAGCAACCAATTGTTCAAAACTACTATCCTCAACTTTTATTGATCAATGCAACAGAGAAAATAACAATTTCCAGGATTTGGATTAGTGAAGCTTGGTAAACCATCAATTCAATAAACTCATAATCAGGAAGGCTTTCAGGTAGAGTCATCCTTAATGCCTGTTGTTTTACCTTCACTGGCCCAAATGGACATTATTCCGCAGAATGTGCATCGTTCTGACCACCACAAAGTCTACTGTTTGAGGTGCTGATTTATAAATTAACATCCCAAACCAGTCCGGTCCAGTCAAAGGTGGGTTCCCAATGCTAAGCCAATTTCAAATGCCTAATTTTCTGTACCACATAATCTACCGATAATTTTGAATCATTACTAAATTTTCCTTTTAAATATGATTTTGTCCCTGGAAGATCACGCAATGTCAGCAGTAAAAATGCATTCCTACTAAGGATGCTAAATAACACTTAGCTATGTGATGTTCCATCTATGAAGATAATCAGATGTTACAAAATTTCTCACAAGATGTCCCTCCAGCTGGAGTACTTTAGTCTTGCTTCGGCTTTAATGTAGAGCACATTGAAGGCATCAACAGCAGTCTACTTGAATTAAATTTTGAAGGTTCCCTCTTACCTGTTGGGCATAATTTATGTCATTGCTTTCAACACAGCGGATTCTTATTGATCGGAACTTTCACCAAATAAGGTGAATATTCTAAAGTACAAACCCTTCGTTTAAGTTTGGCTCAGCTTCTTCTCCCTTTTCTCGCGATAAGATCTCATCAGTCAGAGGCCAAAAATTGGCCCACAACACCTTAACATGGCTTGAGTTGCCCTAACCAGAACTCAATAAGCTTATCCAATTCAATATCTATTGCTAAATGTTATTCCAAAATGTTGTATCTTTTCTACCCAAATACATTTCAAGGACCTTGTGTTATCTCTGTTGAGCTCTTTTAATTATTATATCAAATAAACTAAGCTGCTTATATGCCCATTTCCATTTTCCCGTTTGAATGATCATCACTTTCAGGACATTTCTGGAAATTTTGTCAGGTAAATGCCAGTACAGAGGGGCTTATACCAACATTCAACCTACAATCTTCAAAGGCTTATTTTGTGATGGGGGAATAGTTCAATTACCATTCTGAAAGCATTATTGTAATGCAAATCCTATAAATGCCATTTCTATTTTCCTTGTCCTGCTTTGTTTTTTTTAAGAAGCATCACACACCACATTTTTCTGCAGAAAGTCATCAGCGAGGCAGCAAATGAGCCAGAAGCAGGCCTTCCTATAATTAAACTCTAATAATTTTTTTCTATTGGTTCTTAAGCAGTTAGTTGGAGGAGAAGAAGGCAATAGAAAAGAAGGGATTTTAAACGAGTTTATTCCCATGCAGGCTTTGGGACTGTTTTGAGGTGTCTGCATCCTCAAATGACAATAGAAAGAAAGGGACATTGAAACAAGGTTAATCCAAAGTAGGGCTTGGGACCAATTTGGCAGTGCCTGCATTCTCAAATGGCAGTAAAACAAATGCATTCCATACTATTCTAAAACATCTTCTAATTTCTAGTGATGCTCATTCAATTGAGGCAAATAAATCCATATTACCCTACCTCATCCCTCTTCAAGATGCTTAAACAGAGCTGATAAAGGATTCACATCCCTTGTACTGCTCATATAGCTGCAGAAGCCAACTTTGATGTGCCTACTCTCACATGCATAAAAATACATCAGTTCTTCTGCATTATTGGAATCATACCTCCTAATCAGCATCATCATCAAGGTGCAAGTGTTAACATGCAAACCTTAGTATGAGAACACAATAATACCATCAGTGGGAGTACATTAAGCAAACACACTAGAAGCTTAAAATAGTACTTGCCACGACAAGGGAATGAAGTCCTTCACCATATCTCAGAAGCTCCTTTACCCAGAAGAATGTAAAATCAAGTCATCATCCAGAATGATCTGACTAGATCAGATTTTATTGAATTTCTTGCTCCAAGGTTACAAAATCAAGCCCGTTAGTCAAAGTTGTGGAAACATGACCTATACATTCAAACTTAAGAAAAGAATGATGACAATTAAATCTGTTGGGCGTAATTCTTAAAGCAAAATAAAAATAATGACAATGTGTGTGTGTGTGTATATATATATATGTATGTATGTATGTATATTGAAAAACCAGAAAATTTCCAAATTGCACTTAGTATAAAGAAAATGAATGTCATGTTGTAATTAATGTGGAAATGCTCTCCAACTTTTATGTTTACAAACTCCTGGGTATTGAATGAAGTGTTAAATTACAAAAAATGGGTTTTCATTCCTTTTTCTCCTTCTTCCGTCAATCAGGTAAATTAGACTATCAATAAGGAAAAACCATTGTCCATAAGCCTAGGATATCTCGGTGATTAGTACTACTAGATTGCATTGCCTTAATTTATCCACTCATTTAATCCATCTTAGCAGCGATCAACACTATCAGATACTAAAATCAAGTAAAAGAATAACATAGGAAACCAAAAGGTCGTCATTGAGTAGAAGTGTTGAAACTTTAATCCCAAAAATTTCCTCCTCCTCGTCCTTAATCAGCATTGATTTCAACACGCAATTAAGGTGTTCAAACCTAATAAAGACATTTAAGTCAATCACAATCTTTGATTAAACGGGAAAGCTAAATCCGAAAACAGACGTAGTAATGTTTTCAACCCTTTATAGTAACAAGGAAAAAGTCAACGACGATAATTCGAATTAAACTGTAAAATCTAAAACAACTATAACCACGAATAAAAGAAATTCCTGAAACTATAAACAATATACACAACATAACCACAAAAACGGAAAGAGAGAGAGAAGTACCTCTCATGAGCGCGCACGATTTTTTTTCCCTTTGGTTTCCACGAATAAAAGAAATTCCCGAAACTATAGCTGTAGTGGGCTTCTTCGTTTGAAAAAGTTAGCAGTTAAAAGCTTTCTGGGGTGACAGTGTTGGATGCAGGTGAAAAGGGGAACTTTTTAAGGATGGGGAGAGGGTGTTTGTGTGTGGTGGGGGGGGGGGGCGGGCCGGCCGGGGAAGGCAAGAAAGAACAAAGTTGAGTACGAGTAGAAGTACATAAAGTCAAAGCAGAATGGGATTGGGATGGCTGGGGAAGTTGTGGTTTTCAATTTGTTTTGGAATTGGGAGCTGATTTATAGCTCCTCTTCTGGGACTGAAAACAGAGAGCAGGGTAGGAATGAAGAGAGTGAAAGTGAGGAGGACGACAGGAGGAGGAGGAGGACGACAGAAAGCAGTGCTTATTAACATTGGCGGAAGTAACGGGGATTTGGGGTAGGGTGGATGTAGAGGAGTTTTCCCACAGCGGGAGCAGTGCTTGATGTTGTTGACGTAGCATTGGCGCGGCGGTTTCGCAGTTGGCAGAAGTTGACGTGAGGTGAGTTGAGTTTGCTGGTTACACGTGGTTTCAGATTTCGGAATCATCGACATCCATGTTGCTTGTTTGTGCTTCAATGACACTTTTACCCCTCCTCTTTCGTCAGATCCTTGTTAATCCATTCTTTAGTTCTCATCTCTCCTTGTGAGGTTTAAAATCTTTACTCTTTTTATTCTTTGTTTTTTTTGCTCACACAAATGGTATCACAGATTCTATTTCATCACAAGAATATTTACAAAGTCGGAGCAAGTGCTCCTACGTCATTTCTGGCCAAACGTCGAGTTAACTGTAGAGGAAAGGAATCCAAGTTTAGGCAATTTTTGCCATATGATTCGGCCGGGATTGCATTTTCCGTCATTTTTCATAAAAAAATATTATAGCGATTTAATGTATGTGAGGAAAAAAGATAATAGAAAAATGTGATCATACAAAACGACATAATTTTCTGACAGAAAATGGCAATCCAAAGAGGACGTATAGTTACCTTCCCTCTCTTCATAAAGGAAAGATTAATCCTTTACTAAAACTCCGCTTAGGTTTTTGTTCCTATTACTGGATCAAACGTACCACACACCTTGATCTTATTCACAACTTTTTTATCGTCTGATTGAATCATAATCCTCATCCAACCTTCCTCTTTGGCCTTCATGAGTGCAGTTCTGATTGCATTTGCTTCTTCAATCTCTGCCTTGCGACGTTTACTCTCATTTCCAACCCCGGTGCTTATTGCTTGCCACGATTCCCTAACCAACTCTCCCTCTTTTCTGATCCACAGCTACATCAGCGTTTAGCATAATGATGCCGTGCCGTTTGTAGGTGGTGTCCATTTGACCTCAATCTCTAAATTTCTACTTCCGTCTTCTTTTCCATTTCCCTCCCCCGTTTGTATAACTCTGTATAACCTGCCATTCTTGAATTGCCTTGCTCACTACTATACCTGGGCATTTTCCTTCTCTATTGAACTGTATGTGATTTCTGGACTTCCATATTTGCCACAAAATATTCACTATCAATGCAATATATTCCATTCCTTCTACTCTCTCATGAACTAAATCTTTACTTGAATAAGAACAAAAAAGTATCTTCTTTTGTGTTTGGACAGCCAATTATTTGGCCAAATATATTTGCTGACATCACCATTACAATTTCCAATACACCTTTTTATCTTCCCAATTACCTTTTTATCTCACATACATCACATCACAAAAAGTGCTACAGTAAAAATATTTCAAATAACTTACAATCCAAACACACTTATTAATGTTCTTAACTATTCCTACTTCCTCAAATCTTCTTAAATTTCAATCGTGACATTTTTTTTATCTATTTCGACGAACAAATATTTGCCTTCCAAAGATCTGAAGTAATTTTTATGAGCATAATTATATATATATACATAATTTTTTTTTGGTAGAAAAAGTTTGAATGAATTTGACTCTAATCACCATCACGAATCAAGACGTGCCTCTATAACTATAAATGCCTCTATAACTATAAATCACTTATAGATGATTTTTACAAATCACTCACAACACCACGAATCAGGTCGTGCTTCTAGAATTATAGATCACTTACAAAGAATTTTTACAAATCACTCACAACACGATCTCTTATAGATCACTCACAGCACAGTAGTTTCACAAGATTCTTACAGATCATTCACCAATACGGTCCTTACATGCGCACCAATTTATAGTAGGATTCAAACACACTATTTTTGTAAAAAAGTAATCCATCCTTGCTAATTGAGACAATTTGTGTTAGCTAATCTCATATTCTTTGTTTTGGGTTTGTGTATGTATGCTTTTTGATGCTGTGTATCCCCAATCCCAGCTCCCCCGCCCAAAGAAAAAAAAAAAAAACAATTACAGCTCTACGGATCCGACCAGTGAGACTGCTACTACATCCAGTTATGCCCTTCGTTTTTGGAATCGAGGAATTATACGTAGCAATTGCAAATGCAAGTCGCCTGGAATGTAATTTGACCATAAGATTGCTCAACTTGGTATTGATAATATGTTGATTAATGAGAGAGGTTGGCATTTCTATTGCCTAGCTACAACTCTTCTTCTCATGTTTGTTTGGTTAATCCAGATTCCTATTCCAAAAGGTTCCAAATAATAAGAGCAACATGTCTACAAGAACATCTAAAGAATCTAAAAACCAAATATCTTCTACACATTCCATCTAAGAAGCAAAAACATTTGCCAGATGATGATCTGTCACTGTTAGGCAACGAGTCGTAAACCACCAAAAGATGCCTATTCCACCTAATTTCATTTCAGTCCCTTTTCCTCAGCAATTTCAGACGTTGCACTGAAGTAATGAAATTTCTGCAAAATCAAGAAAGTCAAAATAGCCATCAGAATCTGTGCTTAACCATATTGTAATCTGCAAGAACAGAGGATTGGTGCCCCAAAAATAGCCAATAAATTAGTGTAAGAATAGGATTTAAATACCCCCAGTTGACATCTTCAGCTAGTAGCCAATCACCTTCCTTGTCTTGAAAAATGAGCTGGTAAGATTGCACACTTTGCTGACCTGTTTCCAAACAATCAAAAACAAGAAAATCTTATCAGAAATTTCACTAATTAGAGCGAGAAAATATCTTCAGTACTGATTTGTTTGCAGTAGCACATTCTTACTTACATTTACCAAACATGCCAACCAAGGTTTGAAGGAGTGTCTGATAAGAATGATAGAGATTCAAGTCCACCTTTCTAGCTATTCCCACGCCTTCCATTTTCACCTTCACGTACATGGAGTTTCTTCCCCTGACACCACCTCCAGCGTGACCACCACCATTCTCCACCGTTACACAGTTTACAAAACCACCAGGGCGGTTCTGCTGGCAAATCTTCTTCCTCCACGAATTAATTGGAGGCCACCCCACAAACCCACGATCAGCACTGTCAAAAACAACATCTAATTCAGCACATAAACATTGATGCCCACAAGAAAATTTTGTACTGACAATAAAACCTTGTGCACGAGATTAGGACGCCCACAGAGCCTAGAGGAATTACTTGTTTGTCGTGACAGAACTAATCTCAGGCTCATCCACATCATCTCCCTGGTTAGACTGCTCATCCCATACCAGCAAAGCCAAAGTTTGAGGCACGTGATCATCAGCATTTTTCTCCTCAAAGGCTTCAACAGAATTCCGTTTCTTGATGTTGCATTTCTCATTCTTTACTGGGCTTGCCTCAATTTCAGAGAAATTTAAATCGAACCCTTTATCAGGAATGCTGGAAAGTGCAAGTCCCAACTGAAGATCCATATCATCCAAGAGAGAACGAACACAAGCAAGCAATACAGAACACCAGTAACCTTTTTTCTTTTGGTGCAGAGGAAACAAAGACGTCTCGAAATCCGATACGATCTCTGTACAGAGAGCTTTAGCTGGAGAAGGAATTCTAGAGGATGTCGACTGTAGAACTCCCACTCGTTATATATAGGAAAAGAGGGCGGGGGGAGGGGGAATTTTGGGGGACAAGGGAAGGGAGGCCGAGAGAGGCGGTCGTGGACAGTAGCCAACTGGGGACGACATTTTCTTCACTCTGTCCTTCTCATTGCTAGACTTTTAGCCGACCCAATTGCTTCCGATGTTCCTTTTATTAGCCGACACAAGGTCTTCTTTTATCGACTTTCTTTCTATCTTGGTTAGCAATTCTACGCCCATTCTTTACTGGTGTACTTCACGCTCTTTATTTTGAGTTTACAACGGCATTGAAATGTCTAACAGAAATCAATTTTCTTTCCTTATTTTTTTTTTCTTTTTTCCTAAATCTAGATTGGAAAGAAATGGATGGATGTTTCTACTTGTTTGGAAATTAGGCCCGCCATTTAAACACCAAGGAAAGCATATTATGTATTATTCTATGCTGCTTGAGAACATTTTCAAGCACTGAATAAAATAAATTTTACTGGCCATGTGGAGATGTTAGACTCAAAATTCACAAAAATATTTTGCCTAAGGCTTCTTTTTTTTTTTTTTTTGGAGAATTGGTGAGTTTTATATAACAAAATAAAAATTTGCATCCTAACCGTCAACTTTCCCCTCTTATCTTCCTCTGCAATTCTAAGAAGATCAGGTAGAAAATTTGACTCAAAAATAACTTTATCAACCCTATTGAGATAACTAGCCATAAAGTCAGCAGATTGATTACATTGACGGTATACAAAAAAATATAGTCAGCTTGATTACATTGCCCAACACATTGAACTGGCATTGATGAATTGTCTCATATGAGAGTTACCCCTTTATTGTGTTATTTGAATACATCCTTAAAGTAGTTGCAGGATTGTTAAAAATTGAAACTTTTAACACTAAATTTCATTCAAATTCAGATAAAATCCTTATTAAAAACACTTAATAAATTCAATCCGATTAGCACTGTCCATCACATGAGCAGCCGCACCAAACCCTTACCCTTTCACGGAGAAAAGGGTTTGTTAATTTTAATTTTTTATTTATGTAAAAGACTAAAATGAAATCTAGATGCTTGGTCTTGGTGTGTTCCAATAATAATAAGAAATAAAGAGAAAAAAAAAAGTAGACTAAAGAAAGAGAGTTGAAAGTAAACGCTCTGTCCGGGGGTGAGGACACAATATGCTTAAATCAAGCGCG